CTATCAGTGAAGCGCACACTAAACGATAATGTACTCAGAAATCGGTTAAACATTTTTGCATCATTTTTTCCCTATTGACTGGACTATAAGTGGTACGGGAGGATTAAGAAGAAAGAAGTCCCGGGGTATTCAAAAAAGCGATGGGAGGAGAGCAGGTGTCAGAGGGTGGCGAGATTTACATTGGAAAACGAGATGAGGGAAGGAAGGTACTGGGAAGGGGAGAGTGAAAGAATGTGTAGGATGTGTGGATTGGTAGAGGAGGGTTGGAAGCACGTGTGGGAGGATCGTAGGGCATGGGGGGCGGAAGGGAATTGGAAAGATATGATTGAGGTGGTCTTGGGGAAGGAGGGAGAGAGAGAAAGGTGGTTAAAGAGGGGAAGGGAAAAGTTGACAGGGCTGGGGGATGGGGAGGAGTGATTGGATAGGGAAAGGTGGGGGTTGAATGAGAGGAATGGGAATGGATGTATGGAATAGTGTGACTGTGGAATTGTGTAAGTGCGAAAGAAGAATGTCTGGGAATCTATGGCTGTGTAGGTGATTAGTGTTGACTGCCGGAAGGAAGGTCTAAATAGCGTAGAGTAGGGTTGCGAGTGTGTGTGTGTGTGTGTGTGTTATAAAATAGATAAGTTAGTTGTAAGGATAGTGTAAGGATAGTGTAATATTTTTATTTGTATATGGTTTTTTGTAACCCTAAGGGGAATCAATAAAGGTATCTAATCGAATCTAATCTATACTTGTCTCGTTTTGCACTGCGTTCTAAAACATAATATATATGATCACACATACATGTGTAAGAACATTTTGAACGAAACATGATCAATCCCCGTTTAACTCCGATTGTACCATGCTCAATACTACTTAAACCATGTGTAAATGCAAACAAGCCACATTTAATCTTGGTTATATTATAATTAAATCACGGTTAACCATTTTTTGTTTTTTTTTTATACGTAGGGGAAATCCATTACGGATACTCTGACCCTCGGGGGATGGGGGCCAGGGTTATGTGGGACTCTTCCCCTCCTCACCCCAGCGGGTGAGAGAGGGAGGATATACCCACTAAAACCCCCACGAGGTGTCTTCTCTGCCCTTGGCGAGGAGGAGCCCGGGAACTCCTTGCTCAGGATGCACGCAAACTCCTCCATCGGGCTTGACTACTCGGACGGGAAAGGCTAGCGCCCCTTTCCCTCCGGTGGTGATGTACTGGTTGGCAGCGAAGTTGGACACCCACCACCCCGCCGCCCCTTTTTGTAGGGCCGTGTGCAGTACAGGCCAGGACCCTCATCCTGACCCGTCACAGCCCCCGCGGTGGCCTGGTCGCCCTAAGGCCCTGGGGCCTTAAGGCACAAGCAGCCGAGTGGATGATACCACCCGGGAAGGCCACCGCCTCCGTTCTTCTCGCTCCGGAGATGTCCCCCGGGGCAGCGGGTTGACGGTGAAAGCCGGCTCTTACAACAGCGCCCGCCACCCCGACTCCCCCCATCTCTCCCACGGGGAAAGAGGGGAGGGAGCTACTGTTATTGGGACCCTTAATTCCGAGGACGCGCGCGGGGAGCGGGTGCCACCCGGCAACCCGCCCGCACGCGCTTCCGAGGTCCCCGCCGAGGAACGGGTGCCCTCTCCCGCTCCCGTTCCTCTTCCTCTTTCTGCTCCATCACAATGGAGCAGAAGGAGATCACTGCCTCTTGCCGGTCTTTGTCCCCAGAGGCCAATGCTTGCATTAGGCCCTCCAAGGACAAGTCCGGTCCAATCGCGTCAACCAGCGCTCGGCGGTCTTCTGCCCACCGTGGGCACTCCTCCACGGTGTGCTCCACCGAGACGCTGGCCGCGCCACACTGGTGGCACTGTGTCGTCGGCTCCTTTCCGATGCGACTCAGGTACTCCCCAAAGCATCCATGCCCGGTAAGCACCTGAGTCACCCTGTAGGTGAGGTGGCCGACCCCGTTCTCTAACCACACCTCAAGATGGGGTCGAACCACCGCAACGATTTTTTGGACGGCCGCGCGCGGTTCGTCAAAGTGCTGCTTCCAATCGAGGAGCAGCTGCCGTTGGGCCTGGCGCTTGGCGTTAACAAGAGCCTTCTGCAAGATGTTGTCTGCAACGCCCTCCTGTAGCAGTTCGGCTCGGCGAGCATATCTCGCCGAGTACATTTTTGCCAGGAGGGCTAGCGGAGGTACTCCCGCCAGCACACCCGCCGTCTCCGTTGCCACTGTGCGGAAGCCGCATATGGCGCGGAGGGTGATGACTCTCTGGGCGGCGCGGAGTTAAGCAAACGCGCTCCGCGCCCCCGCCCTCGCTGCGGCTCCCGCCCACAACGGTGCCCCGTAAAGGGCCACCGAGTGGACAACGTTCACATAGAGACGGCGGGCCATTTGCCGCGGCCCCCCGAGGTTCGGCAGCAGCCCCGAAAGACTGTTAGCCATCTTGCAAACCCGAGGAGCCAGGCGAGCAAAGTGCTCGCCATAGCGCCATTCTGAGTCGAGGTTCAACCCAAGGTACTTAATGGTGGTACCCACCTCAATTCTGGCCTCACCTACGCGGAGGCTGGCGTCTCTGGGCCGACCACGACAAGGGCCATGAAACCACATAGCCTCCGTTTTGTGGACAGCCACCTTGAGACCCAGCTTCTCAATTCGGCCGACAACACAGTTAGTGCCTACTTCGGCCAAACATCGTGTTTCCTCCCAAGTTGCACCAGAGGCCACAACAAGAGTGTCATCTGCATAACAGATGACACTTAGGCCTCTGGGCAACGCAGCCTGGATCACTACATTGTACCCGAGATCCCACAGCAGAGGGCCCAAGACGGACCCCTGCGGGACCCCGCGGCACATTTCTCTACTCAGTGGTGATCCATACCGGCCCGTGTACTTAATCTTCCTGCCGCGAAAGTAGTCACCGAGGATTCTACTTAGGTAGGGTGAGACCCCGTGACGTCCTAAGGCCCACCCTATACTGTCCCAGGGGAGGGAGTTAAAGGCGTTGGAGATGTCCAGCGACACCGCCAGCGCCCTCCCCCCCCTGCCTGACCGATGCCTCCGTGAGAGACTTAAATCGAAAGACGGCATCGACCGTCGATCGTCCCACACGAAAGCCGTACTGGCAGTCGGCCAGATCGGGACTTACTCGCGACAGGTGCCCGATGAGACGTGCGGCAACAATTCGCTCTAAGAGCTTGCTTGTCTCATCGAGCAAACAGATCGGCCGGTACGCGGACGGTGAGTCCGCGGGCCTGCCACCTTTGCGGAGGAGCACGAGGTTGGCTTTCTTCCAGGCTGGGGGAAACCAGCTTTGCCTCAGGCAGTCGGTAAATATCTGCCTGAGGCAATCACCCAGAGGGCCCTGCCCAAAGGCGAAACCCAACACTTTTCCGGGCACGCCGTCGGAGCCTGGCGCAGTATTCTTACGCGCCATCCGACAAACGGCCCGGCGGAGCTCGTCTTCCGACACCCCCAGTTCGGCGGACCATTCCACTGGCTGGTCCGCCTGGGGCTCCAGAGAAGGCCACTCGCCCCTCCCCTCCGGAAAGAGCGTTGACACGACCCTCTCTAAGAGTTGGGGGTCTAGACTCTCCGTTATCGGGGGCGTCCAAGGCCGCAAATTTTTCATTACGACCCTATACGGGCGCCCCCACGGATCAGAGTCCAGAGTCTCGACGAGCTCCGTCCACGCTTTGGACTTTGCCGTGGAGATGGCGACTCGGAGGGCCTTGCGCGCTGCGCGATAATCCTCCCACGTCATCTCCGCTGCCCTAACCGCCTCGTCGTTGCCGGAAAGACGACGACGGGCATGGGTGTATCGGTGGTTGCAACGGAGGCATTTGGTCCGCAGACCTGCAATTTCCTCCGACCACCAGTACACCGACCTCCTGTTCGGCGGTTCCCGGGAGCGCGGCATCGCAGTATCGCAGATGCTCTCTAGCGCTCCCCGGAACCACCGAAGTTCTTCCCGGAGGTCACGCGGTCCAGCCGGTGACTCAGGCCAGGCCGCGATCTGGGCAGCAGCGGACAGGAGCTTTGGGTCCAGTTCCCGCAGGACCCAACCTTTGGGCCGGGGCCTCCTTCCCGCCCGGCGACCCCGAAGGCGGGCAGGGAGCACTTCGACCCTCATTGTGATATACCAGTGATCACTAAGGATCTCCGTGTCATCCCTGACGCGTCATTCGGACACCCCGCGCGCGACAAAGGGGGTCGACGCGAACGTCACATCGACAATCGAACCCCCATTGTGCCTGACGCACGTGTGTTGCGAGCCCACGTTAACAACCGTGAGCCCGCAGGCCGCCATAGTGTCTTCTAAGACCTTTCCTCTGCCGTCAGTCTTGGGGGAGCCCCAAGTCTCCGACTTGGCATTGAAGTCCTCCAGGACCAACACCTGGCGAGCCGAGTGTCGCCTTACGGCTAGCTCGAGCTCGCCCACGTATCTTTGAAATTCGAGGAAGGGCCTCGATGGCGAGAAGTATCCCCCGACCACGGCCAGTTCCCCCCACAGTACGACGAGGTATCTGTCGCCTCTCTCCAGAGAAGAGAAGACGGCGGCCTCGTCGCGTGTCCCCCACCGAAAATATATGGCGACCGAACCGTCTTCCGACCCCGCCCACGACGAGTGGTCGTGGACGTTGTACGGTTCGACCGCCACAGCCAGAATCCCGTCCCATTCCGCGAGTTGCTGGATCATGAGATCTTGCGCAGCTCGGGAGTGGTTTAAATTGCACTGGAAAAGAAGAGGGGCGCTCACTGTCTCGGCGAGACGGGTGGCACCTCCACCTCCATCCCCTCCTCCAGGGCACTGCTCTGAGAGGGCTGGGTGGCCCCCTCCTGTATTGCCGGCGCGGGTGTTGAGGCGCTGGCAACTACGCCTGTTTCCTGGGAGGCGGGTTAAGCCCCGCCGCCCTTGGCAGCTCTTTGCGCCCTTTTGGCTCCCCCTTTGGGGATCGGGGCGCAGGACTTGCCGCCGAGTCGGTGGGCCGCGGGCCGGCCAAGGTCAGCGCATAGCGGTCACCGAGGGGCCGCGTCGCAGGTTGCGACGCCATGGCCCCTCTCCTCACACCGGTAGCACCGGCCCCTTCTGTCCTCCTCCGGCGCGGTATACGTGCACGTCGCTACGACGTGCCCGCGCCGGAAGCAGCGGTGGCACTGCAGGGGCCGCCGCTTTAACACCTCGATCGAAGCCTTGACCCACCCCACCCTAATAAATCGGGCGTCCGCGATCCTTTGCCCCACGGCGACCGGGCACCGAATCCATGCTGTGGCGAGTCCATTGGGGGAAGCGCGAGCTCGGCCGACCGATAACCTCCAATGGCCACCACAGTTTCCTCTATCTCCTCGGGGGTGATAAAGTCATCGAGGCTCCAATCACGGTTAACCATAATCAAACCACGTTCAACCATACTCAAACTACGTTCAACTATGAAATGTTAAACCGCAATTAATACCACGTTAATCTATATAAACATATGCTATAGATGTAGGTAGAGGGATAGTAAATGTACAAACAAAGCTGTTTTGTATAATATTTTTTTATATTATTGTTGTTTAAACCAACACTTAAATATTTTAAATACATTTTGTAATGCATAATGTTTCACATGTTTTTTACATCGTAGACAATTCAATACATTTAATTTCTTTAAAAAAGCAATATCGTCGTAATCGGCATCCAATGTTTTAATAATTAATCCACGTCGTACGTCACTGTCAAGAATAGTGCTAGCCAGTTACGTTTTTCAGGACCTTTAACATAGACGAGTGAAGATGCGTTGTCATCATTTCCTGCGGTGCCACAAATAGCTGTTGTACTCAAATTTTTCGCTCTGCAGTATGCAACACTTCCATCTTTCCAACACAGACCGTGATGATGCATCATCAGCCAAGAAGCTGCTGACCTGTCTGACCTTGCGAGTAAACTCCACGCAAAGCGGTTTTCAAAAATGTAGTGCGAGAAAACAGTGCCTCTTCGCAATACCACTACTTCTTTGACAATAAATCTTTTCTCGACTTTAGAGGACAAATCCTTGCAGATCCACAAACGTCGGCACACGCATGTTGACGTAATCGTGTGACCAACAAAAAACAAATGTTATCTATTGTCAAGTACTTTTGCTCTTGAACGATTTTCAGATTATGGAGGGGAGAAGCGCTGATGTCACAATGTATGTAATTTTGCGCACTACGTTAGTTAACGGGTTGTATTCAACCACACGATCGTGCACAATAAGACAATAGGCTGTAGTACTTGCCGGTATATCTTCTTTGCAATCGAATTCAATTGGCACATTGACGTTTGCACTTTTGACAGCCTTGTTTGGACGTGAGCAATCAATGACCTCTAAAGGACCACATTGCATGAAGTTATAAATCGTGAGAAATGGTACGACAACACCACATCCGTAGTACGTTTTACGGAAATGTGTGTACATATCGTACAGAACGGCATATTTTTTTCTATGCAAATTTAGATGCAAGTTGTCATAAGGATAGAATTCAAAGTTGAGATAAAGTTTTACGTTGGTTAATTAACAGTGATTGAATCGCGTGACATCTGTTGACATATCGTTCCTTTGAGCAGTCTGTAGCGCAAATATGGCATATCTCGGTTTCTCAAGTTGTATCGCCGTTTTTACGGCCCACAAATGTTCAGTCGTGCTTTGTAACAATGAAACCTCATGGTCAACTACCGTCCGCTTTCCAGAGTTTGTAGTAGCGAGAGCTTCGTGACATCGTTCAACACTACATATGGCATTCGCCATTGTATTTTAAATAATTCAATGTTTCTATTCAATGCCTCACGATATACCTTAAAAACTGCTGTTATGCAGTTTTTGTCGTTGCGCGATCGTATTAACATTAGTTCAGGACGTGCATTGATGACCGTACGTTTGTAGTCCTCGCAAAATCCTAATATCATGCTGAGAGGTACGCAGAAACTAAAGTAACTATCTACGTCCGTATGTTGTGTAATATTTTATCCAGCATTCTTCATGGCCATGCTTTTATCATGTGTCAGCGATACATAGGTTTTAATTGTGCTGGTCATTCCAACGTTTCTATTACGATCAATCTCCATACCATTGAGTTCATAGCAAATCTCATCGAACATAAAAGCCACACAATTCTTATCCAGAAATACTTCTTCGTCTTTCGTCGTTAACGTCATTTTTCTTTCGACGTAAAGAAAACTTTGACACGGTAAAGTGTACAAGTCCTGCTGTTGTATAGGTATGCGTTTCTCATCACTGTGTTCAAATATCGTGTTGACATATGGATTGTACGTGTGAAATTTAATCTTGATGATGCGATTGTCACAGATCGGCTCGCTCCCAACATTTAAAATGTCGCACATATTTTCAAACTTCTCGTACAATAAATCCCAACTATTGCAAAACTTTAACGTTTATTGAACTTAGCTTCTTCCGATTACTGTACGTTGTAGTAGTAGTAGCAAGTGTTTGGAATGAAAACCTCTTATCTCGCGTCACTTGATCCACCTCGTTCAACACGAGCATGCCGTGTATTACAGTCGTCGGCGCCGCACGTGTAACCTGACTGTTATTTTTTTTCTCGAAAATCAAGCATTTGTCTGTTCTGATTCACAATGCGTATTGTCAGATTCGTAATGCTCTGCACAATGATCGGAAGGTAAATGATCTGTGCCGGTGTTTCCGAAATCTTATATCCAGGCGGCACGTTCGGTGAGAACTCATGTATCGTATGCACACACCGGTTGTTGCTGTACGCACACGCAGTCACGTTGCACTCTATGCGAATACTGTTTACGTTGATAATATTAATCAGGACGTCTGATACGCACCATTGTAGCGGCTCTAAAATACGAGGTGATGAAAAATCTAACAACAATCCAATGTTGTCGGGTTTGGTAAAATATATTTGATAGGCGCTGTTTATTTCACTTTTCATTGTGTTGGTGTTTGCGCGTAATATTAGTGAAGGAATGTTCTCATCCTTATCTTTGCTTTTCGCATTACGTTGCACTATTGCATGTTGCAGATAATTGTTAATATCCCGCAATTCGTACGATCCTTCAGGAATTATAATCTGCTTGTCATCTGTATCATAATAAAACTTATTGTTCGACGAATTCACATTCGGTATCGTATGATACGTTTCAAAATCTGTTAGTCCAAGCTCGTAATCGGCGTCACTGAAATCAGTGGCGGGAAAGTAGCTGACTGCAAGGATGCTACTTTTGCCGGTAAGTTTGAACTTCAGTGACATGTTGTCGTATGCGTAATAAAGTCTGATAGCGTACTATTTAAATGAATATTGCTCATCGACCGCTCGAAGAAATCTTAAGCACAATTGGCCACAATTGCTTTGATTGTAACGTTGATAAGATGTACGGTTATAGTCTATTTTGTCCACGGCATGTTCTAGATAACGCACCATTTCTTCTGGTGGTTGAAGATTGCCGAAACTATCAAAATATATGACATGTTTTCTTCTCTTCACATACGCTACCCAGTGAGTACCCGGTCCATTTGTATCATCTAAATTGACAATACCACTCTCATTACTACGTACTACGTATGGTAAAGTATTACGCTTGAAAACACTTCTAAAGAAAGGTATGCACATGCGCTTAGCTAGGTGTTCTAACTGCATATTTGTTGTTACACCTGTAGGTAATTTTTATGTCTTTTCAGAGTTTCTTTTCTTTTTCTTTAAAAGTTCTCGTCCGTACGGAGTCAGATAAATTCCCCGACCTTCCATCGCGCGAGTATGACGTTGCATTTTTTCTAGCTGCCGTTGTGCAGCTCTCGTATCATTTACCGTTTTTGCACCTCCCGCCGCCCCACCAACGAGCGCACCGAGAGCACCCAACAACGGTAGGACCGGTAACACACCACCGCGTTAAGCAATTGAAAGTATTCGCTTCTTTTTTGCTTACTTACTTTTCTTTTTCAAGCCCATGCCGAGTTTTCTTTTTGCTTTCATAGCCGCCTACACGGCGGTCGCAACTGCTCTCTCACCAAGACTTGAGTCTGCCGCTGTAATGCAATCGCGCGCCTTCACAGCAAGTGCGTTATCAGCTACTTGTCGAGCAGCGAGTTTGTTGCTTCGCAAATAAGCTATATCATGTTCACGACAAGCCGCGTCCAATAGATTATTGCCGCGATCGTCTCTAGCTAATCGTTGTTCCAAACGCGTTTCCGGACCACAAAAGTGGTAGCCCAGAATATGTAATTCGACAGGAAGAACGTTTATCACGCGATTTAACAATCCACGACCTGACATAAATTGCAATATACATTTAACGGGCGTGTTCCGTTTGACCACAGTACGATTCGACACCGATCGATTTGACACCAAATTATTGGACACAAAATTATTGGACACAGATTTATTCGACA